AATGATTGTCTTTTGGACAGCTGTTAAGTCAGAAGTCTTCCCCATGATTGTGGTGCCTTCAAAACAAGACTGAGGGACCTTTTAAAGGCCTTTGCAGGTGTTTTGAGTAAATCAGCTGATTAGAGTGGCAGCAGGTGTCTTCTATATTCAGCCTTTTCAGAATATTCTAATTTTTTGAGATACCAAATTTGGAGTTTTCATTAGTTGTCACTTATGAATATCAAATTTAAATGTAATGAACATTGGAAATACATTGGTCTGTGTGCATTGCATGAATATAATGTACAAGTTTCACGTTTTGAATGGAATTACTGAAATATTTTCAACCTTTTGATGATATTCTAATTTACTGGCCAGCACCTGTATCTCTCTCTATCTCTCTCAGACACACACACCTTAATCAACATTGTTTTGTTTCACTTTGTGTGGGAAAATGCCAAGAACGTTAAGAAAAAAATCAGTTTAATCAAATTAAAATTTAAAAATTCATATAAAGTTGTGTCTGGTTCTAGCATTTCATATTTCCTAGTTCCTACTGCATGAATTCAGATGTATTAATCCATGCACTTAAATATTAATGTTCTGATTTTATTGAAAAACTTGTTCTGTAATAGTCCCTTTACTATTATGATCAAAAATATTTAATCTCAATTCTGAGGCTGCTCTGTAAATAGTTTTCAAATAAACAATACACATAACAACTTGTGGTCAATCCATATCAATTTCAGACTTAAAATAATATATTGATGTAAACCACACCCACTTCCGGTTAAATCACGCCCACTTCCGGGTTATGCCACGCCCGTTCCGAGTACAGATACAAATACAGATAATTTAGTTGGTTGAAAAGATACAGATACAGATAGTGGTGTACTCACTCATGCCTAATATATATATATATATATATATATATATATATATATATATATATATATATATATCCTCCTGTCAGAGGAGAGGGGGAAATGACTTTTGGTGGAAAACAGTCATTTCATACCGTTACACAACCAAAAATGCTTTTGCGCTGATTAGGGGGTACTTGGCTGAAAAAATATTTCACAGGGGGTACATCAGTGAAAAAAGGTTGAGTACCACTGCTCTACAAATCCCTGGGATGTTTTTGTATCTCGTAACCTTTTTCTAAACAGGCTGATTTTCTCCATGGAGATTCCTGATCCTCCTTCCTGAGACCTACTGCTGTTTGACTCATGAAAACTCGCTCAAAATGATAAATGCATCAGCAGGTCATTATTTAGGAAGCTCCTGTGTTCACAGCCTGCAGAGAGAAGAAACACACAAGGAGCAAAATCTGTCATTCTTTGTGCGATTCAGTAGTCCCTCTGCAGCTCTGAATCAACCATCTCATCTTCACCCCGTGTGGTATTTCACCCGGAGTTTACCCTCAAACAACAAAACTGGATTTAGTTCCATGGAGCCTCTGTCCACCTTTTATTTAAGCAGAAATCTGTCAAATATACTTCATTTCTTCATCACCAAGAGGAATGGTAGATGGACATCACACATAGAACTCTGCAGTTTCAGAACTGAGTAGGTTGGCGCTCGATGTAGCTTGAAGGATTGTTGTTTTGTAGCTCTAAAGAGGAGAAATGGAAGCCAGTAGCTCAGGAATGCAATTTGCTCTCTGGGCTGCCAGCCTGGTGCCTCGTGACAAGTCCTTTTACTGTCAGCGCTCTAGTAGACCTTTGTTTTGTTCTATTTTTTTTTCACTTTGGTGGCCAATCTTTCAGGGTTCGCTGTGCTGAATCTGCTTTTTGTGGGCTTTGATTTGCACGAGAGAAGCAGAACATCATCTGAGTTACAAACACATTCAGTTTTTTTGGATGTACGTTGGAGTTTTGTATTTTATGTTAAACAGAAAGGCTGAACTGACTTAAAATAAAGCAGTTGTAAAATTTCCACTTTTATCACAAACACTCCTGCAGCTTAGGTCTTATTTCCATCTACATTGACCTACTGCTCTGCAAGGACACGAGAACATGAACAGGTCCTTGAAGAGGTGAGGGGAAACTGGCAGTGCAGGAATAAAGTGTATTAGAGGTCAAGTTAAGAATTAACCCTCCCGCTGTCCTAATGGGTGTGACACCGCGAGGAAAGTTGACCACTGAGCGGGATTGATGGTTTATCCCTTGAGGTCCACATGGCAGGGGTGAGGTGGTGCTCACTCCTCACCCCTGCCACATGCACCCAAGGGATAAACCATCAACCCTGCTCAATGGTCAACTTTCCTCGCGGGGTCACCCATAAAGACAGTGGGAGGGTTAAAGGAAGTTTAGCCTGCAGATAAACAAACAAACCTTTAAAAATCCCTTTTAGATTGTCCAAAAGCCCTTTTTTTGATGCGATGACATGAAATAAAACCTCAGACTGACAATCGTAAAGTTTTCAGACTGCTTTTGTTATGTGCCGGGGTGAGTACTCCTCTCATTTTCCCATCTTTGAGTTGTGTGTTTCAGGAGAGGGAGGCTCCAGCTGCAGCTGATTTGCAATCAGCGGGTCTGGCTACAAAAGGAGGATGGAGAACACTCCTCGACGCCGGATGATTACTACAGCTTGGTAGTTTCCTGCCCCCCTCTTGGATTTAGTGCTCTAGTGTTTCTAGGATTTTTTGTGAACCTTTGGATCTTTTCCCTGTGCTTACCCATTACCAGGTTTTGGAACATTTTTGGACTTCTGTGGCTTCTCTGGATTACGCCTCTGGTTTCCTGCAATTCCTCAGGATTACTCACCTGTGCCCCATAGGATTTCCGGATGCAGCTCTCACCGTTCTCCATTCCTCCCGGCCGGCCCGCTCCCCTGTTCTCCTGCTCTCCTCTCGCTCCCTCTCCTGGACACCCACTTGGATTCACCCTGGCACCCAACCTATCCCCCCTCATTCCTACGCTCCCCTACTCCCAGTAAGTCTAGACTTACTTAGACTTACCTTTCTGGACTCACCTGTATCTGCTCTCACCTCCTCAGACGCTGTGCTCCCGTTCTCGATCTCCACTGGGCTTTTCCAGTGCACCTTCAGTTCCCGTTTAAAAATTTTTTTTTTTTTACCATGAGATCTGTGAGTGAGTGATTCTGCATGTCTTGAGTTAAACGCATTCCCCAAACCATGTAAGCTTTTACCAATCAGCTGATAATACCTGTTTATTTATCATTTTTACCTCCAGATTAGGAGCAAAACAAAGATCAAGTAATCATCAGTCATTTTTATATGTAGAGTGCACACTGTTGCATTTGTATGAATAACTGATTTTAATGCTCAGTTTAATGACAATTTTAAAACACATTTTTCCCCCATGCAAAAAAAGACGAAGACGTTTTTCTTTGAGATTCAAGCTGAAAACTGTTTAAACATAGTTGCATGCAGCAGTAAAGACTATTTAGTCTAAATGTCTGACACTGAAGACTCAAACACTGGAGGTAGAAAGTTTTGCTGTTGAGACTCGAGAAATGAAACAGAAGACTCTGGAAAAAGAACTTAGTCTCGGAGACTCAGTCCATAATCCATAAATGAGACTTCTGGAGCTACGTTTCATTTAGTTTTTTAAGTTAAAGTTAAAGTTCCAGTAGCTGTCACACACACTGGTGTGTGTGCAAAATTTGTTCTCGTTTTAGCCTAGCTGCAGACACGGCTGCGCTCGGGAACCATTTGGTGTTTTAACCCCTTAATGCCTATTGTCAGGCGAGTCATTGGGCCCCTTTTTTTTAAAGTCTTTGGTATGACCCTACCAGGATTTGAACCCTGATCTCCCAGACTCAGGGCGGACACTCCACTAGGCCACTGAGCTAGGTGGGAAAAGCAGCTGTGACCAAAAAAAAAAACTGATCTGCATTAAACTAAGATGAGGAAGAGAACTTCTATTCCACATCACATCAGATTCACGTTCGTTTCAAACTGCAGCAACTTTCTCCTGCAAGTGGGTCGTTTCACAGAACGGAGGAGAGTTTTTATCGCTGCTCGACACATTTCTCTTATATGACTTGAGAGGACATATCTGAACAGTAAAATCTGATTCCTTTGGGGTGTTTTATATCAATCTTTCCAACATGGCTTTGATCCGAACTGCTGTAGCTCTTATTTGATGGACACCGTTTGGCACTTCTGCATAGAGCAGCTATTAAATCCTGCAGTCTAATAAAACCCAAGGCAGTGTGATGTGTCTGCAGAGATTCTGCTTAAAATCCTGATTTTCTGTTTTTCTGCATTCATACTTACAGTCCTGAGCAGATATGTTTCATGTGAAACGTCCAGCAATGGTCAGTTTTTAGGTACAGTTTGACCATTCAACATCTGGTCAAAAAGGAGACACGAGACTGCGTATGTCCCCTCTAAATCAGCCTGCCTTCATCCTACCAGCTGGAGCTCAGAGCCTGCAGCTCTGAACACAGATAACGAAGTGTCAATAACAATGTTCCCCGAGGTTCAAGCTTGAACTTATCGTCCTACAGGATTCTTCATGCCTCCAAATAAGTGAACACTGTCATGTCTGTGTCCTGCATCCCCCCCATTTGCCTTCCAGTTTCCCCACTAGGTTCTTCCTCATGTGCCTCCTAGTGTTCCCCAGCCACTTTAACTATTTTCACCCCTGTTAGTGTTTCTCTTTTGGGTTTCTGTTCTTCAGTTCACTCAGCTTTAGGTCTCTGTGGATTTAGTTTTACCCAGTCGTTTCCACTTAGTAAATTGATCTCACCTGTGCTCACTCCCCACTCACCTGTTGCTGTTTCCCTGATTGTTTTCCCCTTGTGTATAAAACCCTGTCTGCGTGTATCGTTGTTGTGTCAGCGATGCACTTGTTTTTCCCCCCACTTGGTCTCTGGGAGATTTTTTGTTTTTGCCAATAGGTCCCTCTAGGTTCTTGCATTTTTGGATTTTGGTTACATGGACATTTGTGCCTAAAAATAAAGGATTTTTACGTTTTTTCTACCTGCCCTATGTCGTCTGGAGTCTCTGCTTCTTTTGGTTCTAACCACCTCCTGGCTCCCGTGACAGAATGAACCCACCAGAGAGGACCCAGCAGACCTACCAGATGTACCGATACTATGGAGACCCTGAGACCTGCTGGACATTCATCCAGGACTGTGCGGGGTGCTTGGACTGGAGTTCCTCGGAATTTAACAAGGTGTCGTTCCTGGTGCTTTGCCTGGGAGGCAGAGCCCTGCGGTGGGCCGCCCAATATTTGGACATTCAACCCATAGAAGAGGTCTCCTTTTGGCCCATCGCAAAGGAGCTTCTGGTGACCTTCAGCCGCAAATCACAACAGTCCTCCACACACCCCTCCACGACTCTGATCTGCCGAACCTCCATCCCCTCACCTGGTCCTGACAGCACTGCCTCTGCGTCTCCGGTGGGCTGTCACTCCTCATCTCCCTCTGCTTCAGCTGGCGCCATCACGGCACCTCCGATGGGCCAAGCTACCACAACCTCGCCTGTTCCTGATTGCGCTGCCGCATCTTCTCCGTTGGGCTGTCACTCCTCCTCTGCTTCAGCCGGCGCCATCGCAGCACCTCCAATGGGCCGAGCCACCACACCCTCGCCTGTTCCTGACAATGCTGTCGCATCGTTTCCGGTGGGCTGTCATTCCTCCCCATCCTCCGTTCCCACCAGCATCATCCCCGCCTCTCCGATGAGCCGGACCTCTCCACCACGACGCAACCGCCGCCGGCTCCATCCGCCAGCTCAGTTCAAGGCCCTCTCCAAGACCGTTCCGGTCCGGCCGGTCCAGGAGGCTACGCCTCCAGGGTCTCCGCCTGCAGTGTCTACACCTGCAGGACCTGAGCTTGCAGGGCCTAGGCTTGCAGGGCCTATGCTTGCAAGGTCTACGCCTGCAGGGTCTACGCCTCTTCCAGAGTCCACTCTGCAGTCTCTCACAGAGACTACGCCTGCAGGGACTATGCCTGCAGGACCTCCAGAGTTTTCGCTGCAGTCTCTCACAGAGACTACGCCTACAGGGACTACGCCTGCAGGGTCTACGCCTCTTCCAGAGTCCACTCTGCAGTCTCTCACAGAGACTACGCCTGCAGGGACTATGCCTGCAGGACCTCCAGAGTTTTCGCTGCAGTCTCTCACAGAGACTACGCCTACAGGGACTACGCCTGCAGGACCTCCAGAGTTTTCGCTGCAGCCTCCTGCAGTGTCCTCGCCTGCCGAGGGGAAAGTGTCCTCGTCTCCTGAGTCCCTGTCTCCAGAGCCTCCCTCTTCGGAGTCTCCCTCTTCGGAGTCTCCCTCTTCGGAGTCTCCCTCTTCGGAGTCTCCCTCTTCAGAAGCTCCCTCTTCAGGTCCTCCCTCTTCAGGTCCTCCCTCTTCAGGGTCCCCCTCTTCAGAATCTCCCTCTTCAGGGTCCCCCTCTTCAGAGACCCTTTGTCAGCCTCCTCCTGAGTCCTCGTCTCTTTGGCCTCCTGAGCCCCCTGTGTCCCGTCTCCTGGTTTTCCGTCGCCGGCCCCCCAGAGCCTCCTGGTCCTGTCTCCTGTTTTTCCCCTCGTTTGGTCTCTAGGAGGTTTTTTTTTTTTTATTTTTGTTCGCCAATAGGTCCCTCTAGGTTCTTGCATTTTTGGATTTTGGTTGCATGGACATTTGTGCCTAAAAATAAAGGATTTTTACGGTTTTTCTACCTGCCCTGTGTCATCTGGAGTCTCTACATCTTTGGGTCCTACCTCCTCCTGGCTCACAATGTGACAAACACTCGCAGCCCTGATTAGTTGCTAAATCAAAGAATGACTAAAACTTATAAGCTAGATAATCAGTAAATAAATGTTTGTTTATTGCTACTTATAATAATTATAATGAAATAAAATGTTTTCATTAATCTGTGCTCAATGATTGAAGGTTGAAATGAATGTTATGTTGTGATCACATTGATTGATTGCATGTTTACTTGACAAGGTCATCACCATTTGCACTCACACAAGAACAAAGTAAGGTAAATCCCATGACACATAAATAGTCCCTTACCCAGATCAGAGCATCCGGTATCAAAGAAGGTGTGTTTCTGAGATTCTTGGTAATATTCCTCAAACTTGTCAACCTCTGGTTGGCTACACAAATCATACATTAAAACCACTCTGGTGATTCATCAGTTCTAGAGAAAGCTTCAGATCTGCCACCTGAAGTAAAACCCTCTTTAACCATCAAAGCTTTTGACACGTCGTCAAAATCTTTTTGCACCTGCGAAGCTGATACTGCAAACAGTTCCCGCATAACAAGCTGATCTTGCTTAGACTCCTTCAGAGTCCCAGATGCGCGGTTCCATCCGTCTGTCGTGACCCGAAACATCTCTGGACTGGAGAAGTCGGTGCTGTTGTCAACTACTGGATCTTTGGCCAGAGGTCATCCGACCTCTTACTTCGGATCCACCAAGAGGGTCTCCGAAACGGGTGAAGTAGACACACAGATAGCGTCTGATGTGGTTTTGATAATAATCAACTTCATAGCTTAACACAAACCAAATTATTTTACATCCAGAACTCAGCTCTCCTAGGTACGGAAGTTCTGACTAACATCACATTCACACATAGGTTCATACATCACATTTAGTTCCATCCATCACCGTAAATGCTAGTTAAACTGTCATGTTTTAATTGTTGGTAAAATAAATTCTTACTTTTATAAACCTGACTCTTTTCTGAATCAAAACAAAGTGTGTACAATCCCTTGATAAATTACGAATCCTAGAATCTTCTGATTAACACAGTAAAGACCAAGCAGGGTTGATATTCTATATTTAGATAGAGTATCACAGCTTATTGGTCATAAGTAGAGGTAATATCTATTGAGCTCTTAAAGCACTCAATTTACCTAACCCTACACATGGAATCTTCTGGTGTCAGTGAATAAATGTGCACCCATCCGGAGTCGGAGAGCCAGGATTCTCTTGCCAAGTGTTAAATTTAGCACGATTGTCAGGATTTGGTCAAAAAGGAGAAACTGATTCATCCTGGTGGATTATTTTGTTTTCCTTTCCGAACAAACACAAAAAGATGCTCAGATTGAAGCCAAGACGTGCACGAGAATGATAAAAATGAAATGTGTCAAAATTCAAGATTCTATTCAAGATTGGCAAACAAAAATGGGGCTAACTCTGCCAATTTTACAGCCTTTGAGCCAAGATTTGATATTGTAGCAGCTGATAGTCTTTCCTAAGACGCACTCTGAAAACAAAACTATTTACATAAGACCTCATCTCCGATCTTCGCCACTACCTGTTGGTGTGTGTTAGCAAAGTCTTGCATGGTTCAGTAGACCAGGTGGAATGGAACTCCTTCAAATGCCTGAAAATTTCTTAAATATCTGCTATTTTTGAAAATAGTGGCCTCTTTGCTGCTCTTCTTGACTCCACCTTTCCCTTTATCCATCATGGAACAAGCTTCGACCCGGTAGAGCCCCGATCCTGCAGCTAGATCAACCGAAGCCTTCTTCACGAACCAGTCTTTATTTAGATGGATTGATGATTACATTTTTTTTTTATCTTTAATGTTGTTCTTTTTTTCCTCTTCTTTGTTGCTCATAATAAACATCCCAAAAGCAACCAACCCCACAAATCATTTGGCAGATGCTGTCGTGTTCTGTGTCCCTTTGGGCCCTAGCCCCCTCCAGGTTTTCCTCAAGTTCTCTTAGGCCCTGTCCACACGTAGCCGGGGATCTGCCAAAACGTAGATATTTTTCTACGTTTTGGCCTGTCATCCACATGAAAACGGATCTTTTTAAAAACTCCGGCCAAAGTGAAGATCTGCGTTTTCTCCGTTTTGGGTGTCTGCGTGTGGACGGACAAAACCGGAGTTTTAAGATCCGCAACGTCACTTTCCGCGACAAAAAAATGCTGACATCACGTGTGCGACCTGTGTTTACACTAGCCGACATCATGGATGCCCTCAGAGCTGCGCTCGCTTTATCAGTTGTCCAAGCGCTTTCTGCTTGTTTGTTTTTGCAAGCGGAATTACTGCTCCTTGCGGAAGACCACAGACGAAGGACGAGGCTAAGAACGGGGGAAGTACTGCCGCCTACAGGTCTGGCATGTCCTTAACAACGTATTTATCCGGGTACGTGTGGACAAAGTTTTTTTTTAAAACGCGGTGGTGTGGATGCAAGTTTTTGGAGGGGCGGATATTCGTTTAAAAAAAAACGGCTACGTGTGGACTAGGCCTTAGTCTCCTTTAATGTGTGTGTGTGTGTGTGTGTGTGTGTGTGTGTGTGTGTGTGTGTGTGTGTGTGTGTGTGTGTGTGTGTGTGTGTGTGTGCGCTCCCGTCCCCAGTTAGGTCTGGTTTCCTCCCCTGCTCCGTTCTGCTCCTCCTCTCTGATATTGGTTTCACCTGTGCCCAGTTCCCCACACACCTGCTCCTCGTCTCCTATCACCCCAGCCCTGTGCATATAACCCTGTCTGTGTCTCCATTGTTTGTCGGTCCATTGTCTTTGTCAGCGTTGTTTTTGTCCCCCTCTAGTTACTACAGATCCTGGCTCATGTGTGAGCTTTTGTTTTTGTTCTACAGAACTTAAGATTTTTGACCTTGTGTCCTACAGTCTTTATTTCTTCAATTCTCATCCTAATAAAAGGATTTTTTCATTTTAATGACCTCTCCTGCCTCGAGTTGTGGTGTTCTGCATTTTAAGTCCAATCCTCCTGTGCCTGTGGCGTGACAGATGCTACTGACAGCTGCAGGAACTGGCTTCTTCCTACCATTCTACATCACTTTGCAGCATTTTGCTTATCAAGTGTTTCAATCAGGTGACAAATAAGAGCGATCTGGGTTTATTTCCTAAAGGTACAACAGCTAGAGAAAAATCTGCATATTTTATTAAGGAGCTTCGAGTGGTTGTCTACAGTCCAAAGATGGTGGCAATGACACCTCCCCTGCTATATAAGATCCAGTCTGCTCTCCAACCAATGCCAGATTATTGAACGCTCTCGCCTGTGGATCTTCCAGCCTTCCTTCCTGCCTGACCCATTGATCATCGACTTTGTTTCCCTCCTCCACCTCGCTTCACGTCTGGCCCTCGCCTGTCCTCGACCACGTTTCTCGCCTGCTCCTCTAACCTGTCTCGTATCATCCTGGTTCTGACCGACACCTGTCCTCGACTCTGTCTCCAGCCTCGCCCTCCACGGGTAACGCTACATCCTAGCTTTTGCTAATAAAGACTTTTGAAGTGCCTTACTGTGCCTCGGTGTCCTTACGGGTCTTCAAGTCCAGTCGTTACAGATAATTCTGGGTTCACGGTTCCTGGTTCCATTTTCTGCTGCCTTTATCCTATTTTGAGGAGCTAATTTGTTGTTCTGCAGCTTTTAGATCAAACTGCCTAACTTCATAAAGTGATCTTATTCGTTTTAAAGGTGTGGGAAACTCATTTAATTAATACAGAAGTCTCTGGCAGGAATAAATGCCTTACAAGCCAAACTCGGGGCAAAAAAGCCCAGGATTGCTTGGATTAGCACAGATAAGGCTGCTGCCATAGAGAGTGGCAGCAGGATTTGGATTTGGATCTGCAATACTGATTTATCTCCACAAACAACACAAGCGTTTTTCAGTGTGGTGGAGTCGCTAATGCTAACGGTTAGCTTTTACAAGTCGGGACGATCTCTAATGTTTCCTGGATGCTGAACCAGCGACGGCCTTCCCCGTCGTGAGTCAAGATGGGTGAGTGTCTGTGACAGTGTGACGTAGATCTGTCAGGCTTTCCTAATCCTAGAGTTTCACAGTCTGTTTTCTATCGGAAGCTGATGCAGGAGATAGGTGTAGGAGACTATTTTCGTGTTCAGCCTGCATGAAAATCTCACAGTGACCAATTTATAATCAGAAATAATCAATGAAAAATGTTATTTCAGAGAACCACACCTTTAAAAGCTGCAACGTAAGTAAAACACGCTATTGCGACACATTTCTTATTATAAGTTATTCATTTGTCATCAGTGTGAGTTAGTACCTGAGTTTTTAAAGCACTTTCCTGTGTTTTATCTGCCATCCATGATAGTCCTGCTCAGGTTTGGGGTTTTATATATTTAAGCCTAAGGTCAGATCTTCTGCTTTCTTAAGCCTCAGCTGCAGCTTCGTCTTCCTAAAATCCCAGAAGTCTGTTTAACATCTTCACCATTTAACTAAACACATTCAGAGCTGCAGCTCTGTCGTTTGCCTTTATTTTACAGACAGAAATAACCTTCTAAACGTGTCTCTTTTGGATAGTAATATTCATTCACTTGATCATCTTTTAATTTCCTGCATTTGAAAGGTTTTCATACATTTTTCCCTTTGATATTTTGACCTACAAAGGCATGATGGGAGTGTGATACGTGGATTATCCCAGTGACGGTCTCCTCTTTGGCTTGGGCTGAAAGTTAATCACTCCTACAGAGCGCATTTCTCTCCCCTGCAGCAGTGGAGCACACGATCTGCTCCTCACACTGACACGACTGCAGTTCAGAGGCTTGATTCATGGAGTAGCCCCTCTTGAAGGATCCCCACAAACAAGCACCAAAACCACGGACAACTGACCTCGTCCAGCAATTAGACCCGTCCCTCAGACAAGTGCTCAAGGTGAGAATTAAGGAAGGATTAGGCGTCCTGGATGAGTGAGCACTGAGGCGCTGCACTGCTGACACCCATTGAGGATCACCACAT